CTTCGTCGGAGTCGGTGAATCCAGCGTTCTTGTTCGTCGTGGTCTGTTTTAAGTACTGTTTTCTTGCTGCTTGAAGTCGGCACGCGCGGGAAGAACACGTAGAAAAATAAACGTTCAGTCAGTCAGAGTTTTGAGAGGAAGGAAAACAAAGAAAGAAATGTTCGTCGGTCGCCGTCACCCAAGTAACTGGCGGCCCTGCCCTACTGCGCACGCGCAGTAGTTGCTTCGTTTACCACACGATAGATGGCGCTTGGCTCTCAGCATTATCAAATTTGGCAATTTTCGCCACACATCTCTAATTATGCTACAAAATGTGGATCTGAATATTATTTAACAAAACTTTTAGGAAACATTCGCCGGCTATTTATTGTTTACGATCGCGGTGCTGGTGAGGTAGGCTCTTACCCAATAGGCGATGTGGATTCGGCTGACGTGCACCGATTCTGCGTATGCATCGTAGTGAACAGGCGAAGGAAGGAAGGCGCAAAAGAGTCCAGTTTTCTTTTAAAAGTTCTATAGCAAATAATTTTTTTGGGCTCCCTATTTTTGTGTTTTTGTGTTTCTTTTCACACCTTTTACGACGTGCGGTGGATGAAACTCGATTTTAAAATCATTTCATGGTCCCTTTAAGGCTTGGGGTCTGCAGCTTGCCCATTTGTTACTAAATCTAGTAGCTCTAACTGGATCTAGCCTAGTGTCCCACCCTAGATCCAAGGCTTGAACTGGATTTGTCGGCTATTCCCATTGGGTAGCACACTCTACATCGGGTGAGCAGAGCCAGCGCTCCGCTCTAAGCAGAATTTATTGCCAATTTTTCTGTCCCCAAGTCCAAGTGTTTGCTCAGGGCACTCGATGGCCCAGCTCATTTTCCCCGACTGGGCTCGCTTATTGACAATATCCCTGACAATTCCCCGATTTTTCCCGGTAAATAAAATTTTCCTGTTCATACCAAAAGTTTCCTGGCAAAAGGAAATGACCTTAGCTTCCAGAGGCAGTCCACGTCTCTTCGGAACTGTCAGGTATCCCATAAAAAATCAGATTCAATCTCCTCGACTTACCTTCAAGATTTTCACACTGCAAAGTCAAGCTTGTAACCTGAGAATAAGCCAATTGAGCTGAAGGAGACAATCTACATCATTCCGCAGTTGCGGAACAGACTCCAAATTAGCCTCTACCCATGTGAGCCTGGTCGCTAATGCTGCTAGCTTTTCGTCCACAGACTTCTGGTTGCTTAGAATTGCTTTTAGCTCGTTAAAAAGTGCCGTTTGACCGACCTGTAGTTAAGGCGAAATAGCCAGACTTTGCAAGCTGTTGCTGATCTTCCGTCAGGGGACCCGGGTTAGATACGATGTCCCCCGCTAGCATTACCAACATTTTTTTACAGTCTGACAAAAAATAAAACACACTGCTTGGGCACAGCAGCAGAACAAGACGACATGTATCATCACTTCGAACACCTTTGGGTAAATTTTTTCGTATACATCAATAAGAGAAGTTAAGTTTACGCGAGATAGCTATATAATATTCCGTATATCCCTTCATAAACACAATTACCCCAGATCTCTCCCTCTCCCCACAGCACCGATTCATCACTTCCTCCAATCCACAAGCAGTCCCTGAAACATCAATGGTTGAGTACACTGGTCTGGGACACAGTTATCAACATCAATGACTCCACTCCACCAGACATCGCATGTTGAAAAAAGCTGGCGCGCACACTTCCTTGCGGAACACGCAGGAGTCGAGCCCTGCACACCGTGGAAGGGTCATAGCGAATGACAAAGCTCAGCACGGGGTTAGACCTGAAATGCAATGGGCGCGTTGTCGTAATAAAAATAAACATGCCGTTTTTTGTTTTTTTTTGTTGTCTTTTACGAGCATGTTGCATATTTTAGGTATAACTCTATTCCGAGCTTTATCCCACCCCATCTTCCGTCCATGGGGGCTAAGTTTGGCATCGGTGAGTTGGTCCAGGAGGTGTTGGTTGGTTGCAGTGGGTCCGCCACCCGCTGTGATTGGTCAGCACCATGCTTGACGTGATCACGAATGCTAGGGAACGCCGCAAAATAGACCGCTCACATCACTATGATGCACACGTCACAATCTCGAATCCATTCGCATTCGCACGAGGCGTGGTGCTCACCAATTGTGGTAGGGGGCAAACTCACCGGCTGATTCGGTGATGTGGAACTAAGACCCCAGTAGCTCCCCACGCTTCCAGTGGGAAAGTACGTACAATTTTTTTTAAGTGCGTCGTTCATTAAATTATTCATGCACCCTTCCAGTGCAGCGTGTCTAGGGCTGATTGACAACTAAAACATTTAACCCGATTATTTGCTACCGATTAATCGAATAGTTATTAAATTAATCAATCGCATTGACCTCGGGGCATAATATGCAATACTATACAAGGACCAAATCCCATTTCCTGCCTATTTCTCGCTTTGCATCAAAGGCAAAACAAACAGAATCAATTGAAACTCGCATCATTCTTCTAGAAAGAGCCCGGGTAAAAAAAATGGCTGTGTAGACCTCTGGAACAAATGTGTAACTTCCGAGATGGGAAGTTCTCGTTTAATACGAACGGTGTCCCGTAAAACAAAGGTAGAACTAATGGAAAACACAATTGGGCCAGGTTCGGGTCGGACTCATGCCAAAGAGAGCAGTCGGGTTCAAGCCGGGTTCGGGCCAAGGCCTCCTCGTGCCGGGTCAGGTCGGGCCTAAAATTCGGGCCTCATCTCATCTCTCTTCCCCATTTTCGGGTTTTATTTCTTTTCCAATTCGGGGCTCTTTTTCCTGGGTTTATTTTTTTCAAAAAGACTGTTTTTCGGCATCAATTTTTGGTGTTGGACAAGAAAACGGCCTTTATCGGGCCTTACGTCCAAGAAGCGGGGCAAGGAATTTCCCAACCTCCGAACAGCATGCTCGTGCCCAGAATACTGGAAAAACGTCCCGGTATTGGCCAAGTAACTAAACGAGATGTGGGATGTGGTTCCCCAAGAAACAGGTAACCTTGTGGACTGCTCTGTGTGGCTGTGTTCGAGGTCAAGACAAAATTATAGTTGAAGATTTTTACTCGGGAGGCTCGGCTTTCTCCTGGTGAGCTCCGGGGTTTTTCGGTTTTCCCCGATTTTGATAAAACCTGCTCGGGGGTTAATTTTCGGGGTTTGTAGGCATTTACCGAAAACACGCAACTCTACGTGACACGACCCGTTGGAGTACCTTGGAACACGGCCACAATTCCAGTGGCTCCCATAGATGCTTTAAACAGGCGCCAGATTGAGCCGCCATTGCCGACCTTCTCTCGTCTCACCCAGTGGGCGTGGACGAGCCTCCACAAAGGCCAGGGAGAAGGACGCGCCTAAAGTGGCAATAAGATGTCCTGCAGTGGCAATGATGAAGTGAAATAATAGGGATAAGAGGAAACAAAAATTAAAGACATTTACAACCCCCGCAACGCCGAATTAAAGCGCAGCTCTTGAGGAGGAGGGGAGGGTACAGTTCCCACTAAATGGGAGGGGGAAAATTAGTGGGAAAATTTCCCACTAAATAGGAGGGAAAAAGGGGCTATGCCCCTCCTTCCCTCCCATTTAGTGGGAAATATTCGCTACATTTACAGCCAAATTCAGCAGAAACAATTCCCAACTAAATTTAGTGGGGAAAATTTCAGCTAAATTCAGCGGGGAAAATTTTTCCGCTAAATCTAGCGGGGAATTTGTTCCGCTAAATTTAGAGGAAAAAATTCCCTGCTCCTCCTCCCTCGTAACGTCACACGAGACGTCACATGCGACGTTATTATGGGAAACGTCCCATAATGCAAAGCGCAATTACATCGACGGCGACGGCGATGCCGCTCGAGCCGCAAACGGGCGCCTAAGATCTGCGCTCTTAAACTCAAGGTCGGTTCTGGCGGCGCCCATGCGGAGCTGCCTAACATGTGGCCTGTGATGCAACAGTGTGGCGATCCATCCCATGGTAGACCTTTCCAGAGATATTTGGGGTTCTGAAAGAAGTTTGGTACGTGTAATGTTTGGCCGTACATTTCTAGGAAAAATTATGTTAATTTTATTTGGAAAAATGTGCCGCTAAGACGGGGGTCGTAAATTTTCTTGACTGTGAAGACTGCATTGCCATTTGGAAAGAGGAAAGAGAGCAACCTATGCCAGAATTCTTGCACCACGCCAATTTTAGCTGCACCGAATCAAAATATATGACGCTGCCACAAAAAATTTAGTGTGCGCCCATGTCCACGCTAAGCGCCCACTCACTACTTACGAAGCATTCTAAAAATAGGCAAAGGACGTACCAAGTGCCCACCCAGCTAACCGAGAGGCTTGTGGCACGAGTCATTTCTCTGAGCATGCCGGTGCAAGGGAAAGAAGCTCAACGTGCGCCGGTGTAAAGCAGTGAAACTGGGAAGCCCACCCCATTTTCAGACCTTCCGTAATTTTTGCTCTAGGCAAGAACGACCATTTCCCACTTTTTCAAGATTGTTTCCAAAGTTTGAATGCGTGCCTGTATGGAATTTTATGGTGTACGCACTAGCAAAAAGAAAGAAACAGGATTATCAAACTCGCAACGGTGGCTCGGTCACAATAGGGGTTTTCCCCACAGTGGGTGGTGGCAGTTTTGCCACCCACCAGTCCAGCAGACTGCCCATTGCTGCATTTGGTGCCTAACGTACCAGGCGACGCACTAATTAGCAAAATAACCCCCTAAAACTTACTCAGGAACTTTTTAACTAGAAAAAATAAGCGTATGGTTCCTATTAAAAACTTGCTGAGCGTCATCGAAAACCCTTAAACCGGTAAATTCAAGGAAGACTCGAAGCACGTGGGAAGCGCAGGGGTGCGCTAAAGTTCCCGCTCGTGCAGGAGAATGGCCATGCAATAGCACGGACGCTGGTCTGGAAGCTGGCAGTTTCCAGACCAGCAAGTAGTTGGCCTAAGGGATGTGACAACGGCAACGTGGCATAAGTGCTGCGAGGAGGTGCGACTCACTGCGGCTGGCCGACTGCACGAGGGTGCGCAGCAGGGCGGCGGCCTGGAGCAGGTCTCCGCCGGCAGAGGCCGCGCTGCGGGCACCGCCCCGGAGGCCCCTCTCCGAGAGACGGTCCACCTCCTGCGGGGACGGAGGGGTCCGCACCAACCTCTCAGTGCTCTCCCAGTCAGTCTGAGTGCCACACAAGTCTTCCAAACCTGGGGCGCCGTTTATTTTCAAATTGGGCGTCGTCAAATTGGGCAGCCAGTCGGGCTGGTAGGCGGCGATGGGTTTGCCGTCCACGCACCCAACTGGCTGCTCGTCTCTATGAGACGACGCCCAATTTGAAAATAAACAACGCCCCAGGTTGTCGCGTTTGGAAGACTTGAGTGGCACTAAGCAACAGGACTGCGCGATCCCTGTGAACAAAATCCCTACTGTGCAGCAGTGGAAGTGCCAGGACACCAAAAGTCACAGCTGTCATCCCGTTTGGATGAAAGCATCTCTTTCGGTAAACTTCATCAAGTGTGCAGTGCCAGGCAACACAACAGTGTATGCATGCACACCTAAGATGACAGCATGTCCTACACTCCGAGGATGGCAAAACAAATATTTCTACAGGAGCCTACACGGGCCAAACAACTGACAAGGATGTTAAACACTTTTTTAAGAATAAATATACCAGTAGCAATCGGCATAGAAGTGAACAAACATAACCACTCCGTGCACTACTCGGCAACTTGTCTGCTGCTAGAATCCCATCTGCTACATCAGAAAATTGTGATTGAGAGGCAGTGCCACCGAAAGATATCGTTGCCAATAGACCACCATTCGCAGCTGAAGTCAGCCAATGCGATCAGGCACGCATTGAGTCACCCGAGGCTGGGCAGGGATACTCCAAAAAGTATTCTGGAATACAAATACTGAGGTACACATATTTTAAAGCCAAAATACAAATACTGGGGTACATTTGTCTTCTATTTAACGGGATATACTTGAGATACTCCTGATAAACAGCAAAAAGTATTCCAGAGTGCAGATACAAATAAAGATACACTTTTTCCCAAATTTGAAAAGGTGGGAAGGGTGCAATTCATGGCAAATGCAATTTATACATCTAAAAGGACAATGAAACAAAAAAAAAAAGATGGTTCTTTTCTACCTGGTTAAAAAAATGTCTCAAAATAAATGTAAAAAAAAAAAAAAAAAAAAAAAATTGCCAATATTTTTGTTGCAATACGAATTTTTTTATTTGAAACCAAAACTTTATTCCTGTGGGATGATGACGGCAGTGTTTGTACCAAACTTGTGTGCGTTCCGAGGCAACACAGGTCCAGCAAACTTGGAGCACTTATTAGTTGGGTACAAACGCTACCATCATCATTATACGAGGTCTGTTAGAAAAGCACCCGACCTTATTTTTTTTTGCGAAAACCTGATAGATATGAAACAAGCGCGCTTGCATCAGCTGACCTTGAACCTTCGTACGCATGCGTGAATTTTTTCCCGCCTGCCGATAGTGTCAGTCGCTGGAACGCAGCGTTTGAGGGAGGTAGTGCTCTCGTCGTTTTTTTTTATTCCAAGGAAAATGGCGGAGCAACTGGAGCAGCACTATTGCATCAAATTTTGCTAGAAACTGGGGGACAGCCAAGCGGAAACCATTCGGAAGATTCAGACGGCTTTCGGTGACGGTGCTATGAGCAGCACACAGATTAAGGAGTGGTACAACCGGTTTAAAGACGGCCGTACATTGGTGGAAAGCGAGCCACGCTCAGGTCGGCCATCAACATGCCGAAATGACAAGGTCATTGCCAAAGTGAACGCTGTGGTGATGCGGGACCGTCGAGTGACTATCTGAGAAATTGCGGAAGAGGTGGGCATCAGCACGTTTTCTGCACATTCATTATGACCGAAGATTTGGCCATGAAGTGAGTTGCGGCGAAATTCGTGCCGAAGCTGCTCACGGTGGAGTAAAAGCAACTTTGCATTCTCACAAGACACGCTGGATTCCCCAAAGAGTGACCCCGACTTCGTGAACACCATAATCACTGGTGACCTTGGGTGTGCGGGTACGACCCAGAAAGCAAATCCCAGTGGTCACAATGGAAGCGTTCCACGTCACCAAGACCAAAGAAGGCCCGCCAAGTGCGCAGCAACGTCAAAGTGATGCTGACTGCTTTCTTTGACTCCCGCGGTGTGGTACACCACAAATACGCACCACAGGGTCAAACAATCACCAAAAAGTACTACAGGGATGTCTTCCGTCGCCTACGTGATGCTGTGCGGCACAAGAGACCGGAGTTGTGGTCAACAGGAAGTTGGCGCATCCGTCACGACAATGCTCCTTCCTGCACATTCCTCGCACTTGATTCGGACTTTTTTGGCGAAAAATCACACTCCTGTAGTTCCACAGGCTCCTTACTCTCCTGATGTGGCCCCCTGCGAGTTCTGGCTGTTTCCCAAAATCAAGAGGCCATTGAAAGGAGTGCGATTTCAGACAAGAGAGGACATTAATGGCTGCAACAACAGCTGAGCTAAACTCCATTCCAAAAAAGGCCCTCTCCGAATGCTTTCAACAATGGCAACACCGCTGGGAGAAGTGTGTGAAGTTTCAAGGAAACTACTTTGAAGGTGATTACGTTTCCAACGCTCCAGTTACGCCGGTTTTTTTTCTTCGGCTCGGATACTTTTCTAACAGACCTGATACAGGAGTACAGTTTCACATGGTGGGTGTAACAGCTTCAAAAAACGAGGACGATGAAAGGAACACACACAACAGGACAACAGCTGTTCTGTCGTGTCTGTTCCTTTCATCATCCTCGTTTTTTGAAGCTGTTACACCCAACATGTCAAACTTTTACCAACTCGCCCAGTTCAACACCTTGTTAGAGTATTTATTTATTTATTTATTTATTAGAGTACCTACATCGCCTAGAAGGCATTACAGTAGGGGGGGCACAAAAATAACATGCAAAATATACATCGTTATACACGAAAAAAAGAAGAAAACACTACTACACTTATAAAGACTAAATCATATGAAAACCTGCAAATTGATCCGGTAAGTGATGACGTCACAACACTGCGCTCCGCTCCAAACAAACCATTGCTGGGGCCTTCGTTATCGAGAAATGCATGGAAGCTCAATGTAAGGTTAGAAATCTTCTGATAAAAAAGTAAACAATTTTTGTAAGCAATGTGTCTTCTCAATATTTAATCATGAAGACTTTTTCTATCGTCTCATACCTTAAAGCAATGACAAAAGCTCATGATAAAGTTTCACAACTGGTTTTGCTTTGCTAGCAGACGACACGATGGCTTCGCGTTCAGTGGCTGATCTGAAGGAGTATGCAACTGCGTTGAATGAAGGTGGTGACGGTCGACGAAACTTCTATTCTCGGGGTCAACTTTCTGCGGGATTTAGGAAGCTCAGAGCGCCCGAAAACAGCTCTGATCAACGCTCAAGGTCTGCAAGCGCATGAACGCCTTCCCATGAAGCTTGCTTATATTTGAGAAGGTGAAAATACTGTGAAGCCATATCAGGTACGACGACGATGTGAAGTGTGTCAAGGTCAAAGTGCAGGCCAGCACACACTTCAAGGGTTTCTGACAGCAGAGTTGTTCAGTGCGCATTGGTGTGAGCAAACAAGCTGTCCGCAACATGTCACCGCATGCATGACCAAGAAGAAACGCTTTCCCTTTTATCCCATACCTCCTCCAGAAATGTCGCAGATGAGAGTCATGACGAGAGTAAATTGAAAATAAATGTTTAATCGGCGAAATTGTGCCCGGGGAATTTGAGAAAAGCTGCATGCTCGAGCAGCATGCAGCTTTTCTGCTTCGGTGTTTTTGTTTGGATAAAAAAAATATAAAAAATAGTACCCATATCTTGTACATTTATTCAGACCGTCAGTAGCATTGCTTGTGTGAGATGTAAATCTATCGCGATACTCTGGCAAGTGTGGTCACAATTCTTCCTTTTCATACACCAGCTGTGATGCATGCCCTGCTTGCCCTGTCAAACATGCCTAAAATGTTGGTTGAAGTTTTGCCTGCAGCTGTACCAAACCATGCGAAAATAAAACCCCATATGGAAAGCTACACTTCCTACGAAAAGCACGCACAAGAATAAATAAAAATGAGTGTGCCGACAGCTAACAGGGCGAGTCAGGGAAAAATTTTTTCCATGACATGACGTCACCCCGGTTCACTGTAAGGGAGCACTACGCAAATTTTTCGGGGCTAATAGGGAGTGACGTCGTGAAGCAACACCTAGCAATCCGAGATCGCTGGCGACGTCCCCTTCTGCCAATTTCGGCGCTCCGGAATAGGGGGCGGCAAGAGTAGCACTGGGGCGCGATTTAACCGCCCTGCCCCCCCCCGCTTTTACGCCACTTTGCAGAAACAGGCTGTGAATGGCTCATTACGAACTATTAAACCACCTCGGGCCACCCAATCACGCCGTCTTACAGCGCCCCACTGGCAACCCAAGTATGCCCTAGCCCCGCTGTCGCCCACTGCACCTCAGTTGCTAGGTGTTACATCACGCCGTCACTCTCTATAACCGGCCAATCCTGCGCAGCTGCCGTCCTTCGTGCACACGCTAAGTTACCTGATCTGCTTGCACCACGGAGAAGAGGTGTTTCAAGAATGTTCACCCCACGGAAAGTGCTGAGAGCTGCTTTCACCATTTCACCATGCTTTGTTATAAATAACCGCTACATAAAACGCTGATGCACTTCTTCGAGAATCCAGCAACTTCTACGGCGCTTTTTTTGTTTTCACTCTTAAGGGTTTTTTTTTTTTGTAGAGAGGGTTGTGCAGAATGTTCCCCAAAAAGGTGGCTTTCAGTTTATTATAACAGACTGACAGTTAATTTTCTACAGCAAACATAGTGAGCTACCGAAGCCTAGGAGGGTACTGCGATACAATCGATAGGTACATGGTAAAGGTAATGTAAATGTGCAAATGTATATCGATACTTAAAAGTATCCCTAAGATATTATTGCTATACCGCTTAGCTCTGGTGTCACCAGTGACTGAGTGGTGGAAGCGCCAAAATATATCATCTCTCCAACTTCGGCTCGTCCGAGTGAGAAAGAAGTTACAACTGCAACATACAGCTGCAAGCCGCCTTCGACATGAAACCTTGGCAGCGCCACTGAGGAGTTTCCACGGCAGAGATGGGTAGTAGGAGCACATGTGGTCAGTCCAGGAGGAACGCAAGTTGTTCGTTGGGCCATTTAATCTCTACATTGAGCATAAAGCAAAACAATCTCAATATTCTCATTCTCATTGCTGGGGGGTAAAATCTCCGCACAAAGGAAAAGGCACGGAGCACGCAGTTTTAGGAGAAGGAAACAGTTTGCTCACACCTTAAAGGGGCAGTGCTACGATTTTCGCACTTTGGCCAATTAACTGCGGGAATTAATCCACGTAAAAGATTTGTTTGGGACCGTTGGTTATTTGACATCTTGAGGTAAAATCTGGGCAACTGCTCAAGGACAAAGAACAAGAAGAAACGGGACTCAGCGTTGAGTACCACCTCTTCTTGTTCTTCGTCCTTATCCAGTTGCGCTGTTTTTACCTTGAGATAACAGAAAAGAATTTTTTCTTGCGTGCATAAGTTTTTATTTTAAGAAATCAAACAAATCAAAGGTCAAAGTGCCCCTCAACTCTCGGACCGTCTTTTGAGTGACGTCTCTTGGGGATCACCTGGTTTCCCGTTGACATGCCACCGTAGTTCCCGTAACCGCCACAGTTGTTTGTTTTTTTTCCTTTATGATTACAAAGCAGCAGTATTTCAAGGAAAGGTGGTGCGTTTTTTCTTACTTGCGCCTAGATAAACAGCACTGCCCCTTTAACTTGGACGCCTGCTGCCACTACAGAGCCAGAGTTTGACTGCGATTTGGTTCGAAGAGGTACTCACCGTGCTGACGACTTTGAGCACGTTGAAGGCGACTCCATCCCAGGTCAGGTTCCCTTTCTTCTCCGAGCTCTGGTCCAAGGCCGACTGAACGCTCGGGCTCTGAAGAGACGACTTGAGGTCTCTGAAGGCATTCTGCACGAGACAATATGGTCTCCACTGATAGGCAATTGTTTCTTAGAATGACCCACTCATTGGGAATTTAGTTTTCCGACTGCTGTTGTGTGCTGACATACGCACTAGTCGCGATTGTGATGCCTCTTTGTATTATTGTATAAATTTGGCGTTTTCATGTAATAACATGATTGTAAACGCCTACCTCCCCCAACACAATTATTTTTTTGCCACTGCGGGGGATTCTGTAAATAGATAAATAATTGGCAGTCAAATGACAAAAGCTTGCCACTTATTTTGAGGCAGGTATTTGCGTCGTCCAGCGTATTGGCGATCGCTTGAAAGAACTAAGTGTGTGCTCCACAGCGGGGGCGATCCTTATGATGGAAACACAGTTGAAAATCAAGCTACTTCTTGTGAAGTGAATGTTTATTGGAGACTGTTTTTTAGTAATGATAATAACAAATATAACAATAATAATAATCTTTACTTAGTACCCTAAAACTGCCCGAGCTGCGTTTGGATTGGAGCGCATAAACAAGAAGGCTAATAATATTAATTTATTTCTATCCAGGAGGCTTGCAGTGCACCGAAAGGTCGAAACAGAAGTGAAGTATAAGTAGCTATAAGTAAAAAATAATATTTATCGAGACACATTTACACAAATGAACAGAAAACACAAAAAGGAAGGTGTGTAGTAACTAGCTAATCACTCAACAGGTGGCCCAACACAGAGGCCGACACGGACGTCGAGAGAAAGAGTTGTGACTGTATCCAAGAAAGCACGCATCCACTTATCCCTGAAAGTTAAACTCATCGGATGTTCGAATTGGTATTCTTTATTTAACCCTTTAAGGACGTATGTCGCGAATTCGCGACAAACCACTTAGTCCACTGTATAAAATCTTTCCGTCATCTATGAGCCCCGCGCCGACTGTCGCAAAATCGCGACGTACCTACCGAAGCGCCACGGTATGCTTGCGCCATCTGTCGGCCGCCCGGTGTACTTTGCGCCGTAAACAACTTTTGCCGGTGGACAAGATTTCAGAGCATGTGGTTTTCGAATTCCCAGCTGTCCTTCTAGCGTAATCGAGAGGTAAGTTGTCGTTTTAAAATTGTTTCTAGCTTAAATGTGGTCCCAACTAACTGTACAAAGCACACATCCTTTTAATACTGAGGTCTTTCAGAAAAATAAGATGTTCTGTTCGCTTTGTCGCGAATTCGCGACACTCGGCATTCAGTGATTTGCAAGTCGCAGTTTGGCTAATCTAAAACAAAAAATATTTCTGGCTTACCACTTAGTTTCAATCAGCCATACTTTATATATTGTAGGTCATGGAAGCTCGCTCCTTCTATGGGAAGAAGAAAATTCCGTGTAGGACGCGGTTACCACCCGAAGACGGAAGCGACGACAGCTGCCTAAGTGACACTGACAATGAGGATGCGGACTACAACCCTCCCCAACAGTTCAACGCACCCCCCGATAATGACACAAGCGAAGAAAGTGAAGAAGAAGAATCGGTGCCAGCTTCCTCGAAAGGAGTGAATCGGCCAGTGCATTGGTCAAAAACATCTTCATCTCTGAGTAATGACGTTCCTCAGTGGAAAGGTGCTGCGCATGAGAGCGAGGCCGTCAGGTCCCCAATCGAGTACTTCCAGGGATTCTTTGACGACAACGTGTTCAAGCTAATTGTGCAGCAGAGCAATCTTTATGCAGTACAGCAAAACCCGAATAAGCCTCTAGCCTTGTCCCGGGTGGAACTTGAGCAGTTTCTAGGCTGCACTGTCTACATGTCGATCTTCCAGCTACCACGATCTCGTTTGTACTGGTCAGCTGAATGCAGACTACCAGTTGTGGCCGATATTATGACGCGCGACAGGTGGGAGGAGATCAAATCCTCGCTGCACTTCAACGACAACCTCAGCATGCCACCAGCCGACAGCTCCCCGAAGGATAGACTGTTCAAGATTCGCCCGCTTCTCGAGATGCTGCTCCCGAAATTCGAGGTGATACCTCAGGAACAATGCCTCTGTGTGGACGAACAGATGGTTCCCTTCAAAGGGCACTCCAGCATCAAGCAATACCTCCCCAAGAAGCCTCACAAGTGCGGTTACAAAATATTCATGCTTTGTGACTCCAGGGGTGTTGTACACTCTTTTGACGTGTACACTGGCCACATCGATCAAGTGCCGGGTTTTCCTGACATCGGGGCAAGTGGTAACATCGTCATAAAACTGGCTCAGTGCGTGCAGCCTCAACTGGGCCACCTTCTGTACTTTGACAATTGGTTCACGTCTCTGAAGCTTCTCGTGACTTTGGCACAAAGAGGCATATATGCCCTTGGTACTGTGCGTGCAAATCGACTGCAGGGTTGCAAAATGGCCTCGGACACAGAACTCCGCAAGAGAGGACGAGGAAGTGCAGAAGAGTACGAGGCAGTGGTGGATAACCAGAAGGTGATCGTTGTCAAGTGGTACGACAACCGATCGGTGACCACCGCAAGTACCTTTCCCGGTGCACAACCCGTCTCCACTGTAATGAGGTGGGATAGGCGTGAAAAGAAGTCTGTCCAGGTTGAGTGTCCTAGCGCAGTTGTTACGTACAACAAGTACATGGGAGGTGTTGATCACTTTGATGCACTGATAGCATACTATCGGATCCAGTTGAACTCAAAAAAATTTTACCTCAAGCTTTTTTTTCACTTTTTGGACATGGTGATTGTTGTGAGCTGGCTCCTCTACCGACGAGACTGTCAGTCACTGGGCGTTCCAAAGAGTAAGCAGAGAGACCTGCTGAAATTCCGGCTTGGAATTGCGGAAGCCCTCTGCAAACAAGGAAAGGACCTCTCCTCAAAGAAACGGGGACGACCGTCCGGCTCTCTTCAAGCTCAACTCAAAATGAAGAAGCGACGAGGACCCACGAGCCACATCCCCAACGAGGACGTCCGCACGGACAGCACAGGACATTGGCCGGTTGTCAAAGACACGAGACAGCGATGCAAGAAACCTGGTTGCAAGGGACATACCAACGTAATGTGCAGCAAATGCAATGCACATCTTTGCCTCAACAAGAACACCAACTGCTTCTTTGATTTCCAACAGCCATAAAGTAGAAGCCAGGTGCTTTCTGCGCTGCTTGTTTGTTCTGCGAACGCAATAAGCAAAACTTTGTTCCACTCCTTTCGAGACTTTTTTTTTTTTTTTACTACACTAATATTATTGGTGAAAAAAATAAATTTTATTTAGATGGCGTGGTGAAATTATTGACTTCGTGGCCTGTTGTCGCGAATTCGCGACATACTTCTTTTAGCCAAATAGGGTACCCGTCACAATTCACAATGTTTGTATCTTTTTAAGAGCACCTTAAGCACCACATTCCCGCAAAAACATATTTTTTTAGTCGACTGAAAAATAAATTTGGCGTTAAAGGGTTAAAGGGGCACTGACACCCCAAAGGTTGTATTTTGTTTTAATTGTCTAAAGCGATGGAAGTTGCAGTCATAGACACGCAAAAAAAAATGCATCGCGAAAACAAACTTTCCCGCGCGCGCGCGCACTTTTTAATTTTTGGCGTTTGATTCTCCCGCCTCTCGCCTCCTCGCTTCTTTTAATTCGTGACGTTAAGAATCATGAAATTTAGAAGCTCTGTAGGTGACATCTCTATAACAATTAATAATGGCAATCCTAAAACATGTTTTTTTAAGGCAATTGCGAATGCACTACGACCCTTCTTTTTGAAATACCGAAAATCGGGAGTTCGTTGTGGTGCCGTCTCCTGGATTTGTATCCTCCCACGGAAAACAGACGACATCGCTCAAAACCGGTCCGCCGGCGGTCGCTCGTTTCCTCCTCGCTTTGGGTCGCCACGGCAACAGCAGGGAGTCGTGAAAGAAAGTGGACTCTCAGGACTCCGCAATATTTGACGTCAACGCACCGGCGCGGATCGAGCGGGAACTTCGAATTCGGCAATTGGAAATTGTTTTATTACTTCACAAATACTGAATTCCCAAATTTCAAATTTTGAGGGTAATGTCCCGGCATTGTTTTCAATCGTTTCGGATAATAAAAAAAAATTATGATTTTGATGTGTCAGTGCCCCTTTAATTCTGTAGAGTTGGATCATCACAGAAGGCTGCAGGCCAAAGCCCATAGGTTTGTGGTGCCCTCCAAATTTCTAATAGACACATATACAGGGTGTTAAATTTTTAATTTTAACAGATTAAATTTTAAAAATCCGTAAAAGACACTCTAATGTGGTTTGTGCAGGTGAGTTATACAACCAGGGGGACATTTATAGGCTACTAATGTTTGTAAGAAGTCGGATAACTGGCTAAAATTTTTAAACTCACTTCTTAAATGGTGAAAATAAACATATGGTTTTAATTAAGACTTGCTGAGCATCATGAAAAAAACCGAAATCAGTCAATTTTAGAATGACTTAAAGTGCATGGGCAAAGTGGGGGTGCGGCAAAAACGGGTAGCAGGTTCAAAGCTAGCGGTGGAGAAATACGGATGATAATCTAATCATCCGCGTTTACCCACCGCTATCTTTGAGTCTGCTGCATGAGTGGTAACATTGGTGCTTGAGGTTGTTCTAAAAGACTGATTTAGTGCTTTTTTATGATGCTCAGCAAGTTCCTAATTGAAATTATGTTTAGTAGTACTAATCAAGAAGTTAATGAATTTTAGCTAATTACTCAACAGACTGTGGCGCCTATCTGCTCCTATAAAACCAGCCAAACTCAAGAAACACCTAGCAAAAACGGCATTCGTCTCGCCGCTTCCACTTTTTTTTTTTTACATTCTAGCTCTATTAAAAAATTTCACCTTGTATACATATACAGGGTGTTTATGGAAATGTGGGTCAATTCACACCTGAGAAAACTATATATTGCACAGAAAAGTGGCCAATGACAAAGTGGTCTGTGCCAAAGGGCACACTAAACAAAATTATTAGCATTCAGTATAATTAATTTTAGTAATTAAAATTTTAATTTGGTTTCAAATAGAAACTTGATGCG